TAAGAAATTGTTTTGAAATTGCCTCCCCCTGCAGGCCATAACAAAAACTGCACTATCATGGGACCACCTTCTTGCTCCTTTCTCAACCTCAGGCAATCCAAGTTTGCACATGGAAGTGTAGGATATCCCAGAACACAGCTGCACCTCCAAATATTAATGAGTTCAGATGGAATAATTTTCCTTGACCAAAGGTCTCCTGCCTGTATGCTCAGGTTTTGCTTTCCCCTCCAGCACTCAGGAGAAGATACTGGAGTGTAACAGTATGATAATTTGGCTCAGTGATAAAACACCCAGGACTTAATTACCTGCAGCGCAAACACAGCACAGGCTGAGAATAAATGCACGATGTGACATATTTACAGTGCCTACCAAACAAACCTGTGCGCTGCATTGCGATGAGGTGTGCAAGCCAGCAGGTGGAGGTGGAGGGGCTAATTTCAGAACAAACAGTGATGGAGCTTCTCCTTCGCACTTCACACAGACACATTTACTCTGCTGGAGAATATTCAGGCAGAGCAGGGTGTGCTGGCACTTTTTAAAACATAATTTGCTCAGAGAGAGTTCTGCTGAGCAAACACGCAGCTCATTTAAACACGTCTGAATTATCCTGATGTTTCAGTCCTCTGCTGGTGTCCAATTAAAGGTAATAAATTAGAAAAAGTTCTCTTCAGTGTCCGCTGTTCTCACTTTACGGCTATTAAACATCACAAATAGTTTAATTAGATTTGTTTCCTAACTGCCTACTTACTTGGATTTCTGCAGAATTTATTATCACCACTGTGGGACCTGGAATTAATAAATATGGGAAGGACACCAGGTTTTATGCATGTAGTGTGTACAATAGCAAATGCCCACTACCTGAAATCTAAATCTTTGGCTATTTCTGTCCATCCTGTCCATCTCCTCACTTCAGTCAGAAGCTACAGCACACATCAGCGGCTTCTGCTGTCCAAATTTGTTTGGGTGTGTGCCAGTTTTTTACAGAGGGGTCAGTGTCCCCTTAATCAGTGCATCGCTACATGCTGCATTTCGATTTGCTGGTTAGTAGCAGCAGCAGCCACGCTCAGATAGTCAAGCTAAATTTCTGACAGAGCGTTATTCAACACCACACACTGTGATGCAGTCTCGAGTTACAAGACTCTGCGTCAGACCTTGACCTTGAGATCAAGGTCACTGAGATTCAAACTTTTGCGTGAATAGTACTTAGTAGAGGTATCTATGGTATCAATTTGAAAACCCAAAATTGGCTCATCTTCAAGTTATCGTATTCACAAATCTGGGCATCCATGCCAACTGCCTGCGTGCCGTATCGGCTTTTTACAGCTGGGGGGTAAAAAGTTTAATGAATTAAAGACCTTTTGTTCTTGCACACCTCTGGGCTGCGGTTTCTCCCACATTACTCCCTGGAATCAACGTCTTCCTCTACTCTCACCTCTGACACGTGCACTGGATCTCTTTAGTGTGTGTCAAAACATTAAAGACATCTTTAACATCCTTAAACTTAATTTTTGGAAACTTTATGGATCAAATGAACATGTAGTCTCAACCCTTGTTTTTGCCTGTCATGCATATGGTTCTCTCTCCTCTGGTGTGCGTATGTAATAGAATGCAAGTGAAACTGTGCGTGTTTATTGTCTGAGGGAGGTCATTTACCACAAAGCAGACCAGTCTGCAACTGATGCTGAGGATGTAAACATCAGTCTTACTGGTAACGTAATAGCAGGTTTGTGGCATTTTTGTTCAATCATTTCTTCTCTCTAAGAGATTA